CACTCCTTGCGTTAAGTTAGCTACTGTGATTCACCTTCTCAATACCATTGAACTTTTAGAATGTAAGAAGTTTTTACCCCAACTTGGAGTAAGTCTCTAATAGTTTTAGTCACCTTTGGAATATACCGTATCTCCATCAACCCTGCTGCCCACTCCACTGAGTAGCAAAGGTACAGCACCACATACTACCTACTTCGTTCCTTTGTCGTGCATTCTTGCATGACCTGAAGTCATTCACTTTTGACTATCTTGATGAGAAGCTCGTTGACACCGGTCTTACGAAGTTCCTTGGTCTCTGCCCTTCAGCCTTGTCTTGGTACTTGAAGTTTGCCTCCGCATGCTCCACCTCCTCGGCCCCTTTCACGACCAAGCGCTCTCCCTCCATGAGAGCAATGTATCAATAACTTCACGAAAGTCTCGCCTTTACAGTACCATGGTGCTGCCATGCCCATGGCCCTACTATCCGTCGTCTCACATCCGTATCCATTTCTTCACGATTAGTAGATATGTCTCTGTGACACTCCTTCGAGTCCATTTCTATTCTAATCGATGCTTAGTTTTGGGTAACTAAGTCCTGATAGACTCATCGTCGCTTCTTCACCCCTTTCTACCCCCTACTTCAACACCTCTATGTTCTCCAAGCCCTTGATCAATAGAAAGATAGACTACAACTCCTGTATATGGCCTTTGCCATCATGTTATAGGGTTTGCACCGATTCTATTCTTCTTAGTATCCTTGGTAGCAACGTTCGCTTACTCGGCCTTGTCCTTTGACTTGCCAGGCTCCCTTAAGCGAATATGAGCTATAGAGCAGTCCAACTCTCTAGTTGCTCTGATCATACCTCTGCATGATCAAGTTCCTCTCATGGGACTCACTGGAACTTGCATGCTGATGACCAAGACTTTTATATAATATAAAATTCAATGCATGCATAGAAGACCCGCCTCTACGGTACCATGACTTTTATTCATTGAATCCATAGCCCTTCTTGTCGTTGTGTTGTTCACCGAAGTGAAGCTCCCGATCATATCTCTATATGATATAGTCTCTAACGGGACTATATTTGTGTGTATCGCATTGTCACGAACTGTTCCACCACGATCTGTTGTACCGTGTTGCCTCATGGTGACATCTCCATTGTATTCTGATCATCATGGGATGAACTCAGATTGTGATCCCTCTATGTGTGGCCTCTACCAACACATTGCAAGGCCTTTTTCATCTTCAATTGTATTTGCTCATTTGGCAATCAATCTTTGTCCACCCACTCTCGAGTCACACCTAGACAAAACACCGCTCTAGGACAATCCATCGCTTAGTAGCTCCCGAAGTCCACCGACTTTGCTAAAATTGGTGCACCATTGTTTGGATCCTGGGTCTCTGCCCCTACTAGCACAATCTCCGCTATGCACCACATCCTTCATGGCAACTTGAATGGTAGTATTATGGCATATTCTTCAAGAGTACACGCCTCCGTGTCCTCTTTGTTAGGATCAAGAGCACTAAGGAGGGGGGGGGGGGTGAATTAGTGCAGCGGAAATCTTTCAACTATTAAAATCGAAAGCTGCGTTCGTTCGTTGATAAAAATGATTTCGGTGTAAAAACTGATTCTAAGATTACTTTAACTTAAGATTAAGCGAGATGACGTTAAAGTAAATCTAGAAGGCAGTTTGCAGTTTATGATGGAAAGCAGAATACAAGCGCAAACTGAAATGCGACGTTCGTACGATAAAAGCCGATTTACGTCTAAACGTAGATTCGGAAAGTTCTGAACTTAGAAACTCGTTCGTAAGATCGCAGAAGGCAGTAAATAGTTATGATTGAAATCAAAATGTAAACGTAAACTGAAATATGATGATCGTACGAAAAAAGCTGATTTACGTCTAAACGCAGATTCGGAAAGTTCTGAACTTAGAAACTCATTCGTAAAATCGCAGAAGGCAGTAAGCTATTGAGGAGGTTTGCAGTAAAGATAAAATGCTCAAAGTAAATGCAAACCGAGATTTAGAGTGGTTCGGTCAATCTTGACCTACTCCACTTTTGGCTTCCTCCACCGACGTCAACTAGAGGCCTTCCTTCAATAGGCGAAGGCCAACCACCCTTTTACAGATTCACTCCTTTTGATGGGCTTAGGAGACAACCCTTACAGAAATTTCTCTCCTCTCTTTACAACTCAAAACTTGGAAGAACAGAGGGAGAAGAACTTTTGGCCTTTACAATAATTTTGAGCTCTAAGAATCACTGAAAAGATCAAGATTTCGGTGTTAGTTGATGCTATATCAGTGCTGAATGGGTGGGGTATTTATAGGCCCCAACCCAGTTCAAATTTGGAGCTCAAAACTGTCAATTCCCAGAATTCCGGTATCAGGCGGTTGCACCTCCTGACTGGGGCGGTTGCACCGCCTGGCAGAGCTCGAAACTTGAGCTCAGGCGGTGCCACCTCTTGTCAAGAGAGGTTGCACCGCCCAGTCTCGCTCGGAGACTGAGCCCAGGCGGTTGCACCTCCTGGCTGGGGCGGTTGCACCGCCCAGCCTCGCTGGGAGACTTAGCCCAAGCAGTGCTACCTCCTAGCCTAGGCGGTTGCACCTCTTGGCACTATTTCAGATCACTGGTTGGGCTCCAAACTTGGCCCAAACCAGTCCGAATTCGGGCCCAATTGGCCCCTAACCGGGTTATAAGATTAACACCTAATCCTAACCCTAATTAACGTGCTAACTACGAATTTAAAGACATTTCTTAAGCTATTACAAAGTCCGCAAGTCAAGACTTCTTCCGGCGAGCTTCCGGTGAACTTCCGGCGGTCTTCCGATAAACTCTCGGAAACCATTCTGCGGACTCCCGGCAAGCTCCTAGACTTCACGATTTGATCTTGGCAAGTTCCGACGAGCTTCTTTGGCAAGCTTCTGAACTTCTCGGATTTGTTCCCGCAAAACCTCCGACGACCGTCCGAACTTCCGTCGAACTCTCGAACTCCCAACGTGATCATAGTCTTGACTCCAGCGCAACTCCAGCTACTTATCTTACTTTCATCGTAGTTAATCCTGCACACTCAAAACAAAAACTTCGATCGAGACAATTAATCCTAAGAAATTAACCAAGTTGTCTGGCATGTCATTGGTCCCTCAACGCTTCGTCCGATTATTCGGCGCATCGTCCTTTCCTGCAGCCTATTGCCCAATCGGCCAGTTGACTCCGTAACTCTGATATCCTTGGCACAATACCCGCTCTTCTTGGCCCGATGCCCGAGTCCATGACCCGAAGCCTTCTGTCGATACGTCGACCGATCCACCGGCCCGACGTCCAATCTTCTGATATGTTCCTCCGGCACAACATGATGTTCCTGCTTTAATTGTCTCATCCTGATCAAAGCATCCTGCGTCACTCAAAACGCAGATTAAATCATAAACATATATCAAGTAGTTTCATCATCAAAATACGAGATTCAACACTCTTGCCTCGTGACAAGGTCTTTTGAACCTAGCTTCGCCTCTACAAGTTGAGTCGCCTCAGTTCCTCTGTCAAATGCTTCTCTAAGGTAAGGTGCATATGCCTCGAAGCTCTCTTCATCTTTGGCACCATGCAGGATGGGCCCGCTCCATCAGAATGAGAGACCCATGGAATGATATGATACCGCTCTTGCCTCTGTAAGAATTCATGTCTTTGACCTCTATCCAAGGAAAGCTTTGTACCTCCGCTCCATATTTCATCTTCTATGTCGGCTCCCTTCATGTGGCTTGGGTACTTCGCCAAGTTACACCCAAGTTACTCCGCTCCTTGATTTGCATTAAGTTGATGATGGTCCTCATGCCCACCATTCCACAGGTCAGCCCTCCATTGAGTATGATCTCCATATCGACTCCAAGTGTACTTTCATTTGTGTTGCCTTGAATCGCTCCCCCACTTGATCTCGCAATGCATCCCCCTAATGCACTATCTCAAGCGAGATCATGCGATGACTCCTTGCTGCTCGCTCGATATGTTGAGCTTTGTAAAGTTATTTTTAATGTACTCCTCCTCAACATATGCGATCCATTGCACATGGTTCTCTCTCTAGAGAGTCGGGACTTATCCCTCCTGGATATATATATCTTATTGGATCAACTTCTCTCTTCGCTTCCTTCTCTCTGAAAGATTCAGATACTACCATCCCCTTGGACTACTCCGCCTTGCTGAACAAATTGTGTATTGTTATGCCTCCCACAAACACACTTGCTAAATTACGACTCCACGTCAATACAACCCTTATTGCACCCCTCAAGGCCTAGTAACATGCTGAACTCGCTACACACTTTAGCCTCCTATGGACGTATCCTTCTCATGTTAAAGAGAAAGTTTCAATGCTCCATAAAGTCGAGTTTCGGTCGCCTTGGGATGGCCACGAACACTCCATCGTTCGCATACAAGCCTTTGCATGAGTACCAAATTCTTCAAGTTAGCAATTTCTCTCATATCTGTGAGCTTTGCACAACTCTTTCGATCGCTGAACAACTCATTCTACCTTACATGGTCTCATCCTTTACCAAGCCTCTCGCTTGCCTTGAGCACCATAAAGTATGGTTGCCAACGTTGAGTCGTAGCTCAAACTCAGCAATCGCAACCTTTGTGCACTATGCATTCTTCCCAGCTTCATGGTGCCTCTTGCGTGAAGGGTTAGTCATTCCTATGAATATCAATCTCAGATGCCCGCTCGTTTGAGCGACTCCTTTTTCCCTACATCTCCAAGCTTGTTTTCCCCCAAACAGGCATGCATGCTGGTTGTCTTCAATGCAGCCCCACTAGATCTCCCATATTTACACGTCTAAGAATTTCTATAAATAGTATTTATTTTTTATTCAAGATGGTGGTATCTATATCTTTTTGTTAGCCAAAATTTTTATTTTACAATTGTGTCTTTCAAGGTGTGAAAGTGTTGCCAAATAATTTATGATTTTTCTAGGGTTAAAATCAAATTTTTTAAAGGGTATTAATGCCAATCCAAA